AGGCTTGCCGTACAACTGCTGCCACACGCCAGAGGCTCTGTGGAGCAAATCGGTTTCATCCACCTTGGGCAGCACCACCAGCTGCAGCAAGTCCAACTCATGCTGCTCACTAACATTGCGACGCTTGGAAGTCAACCAGTTTCGGATGGAAAGTTCTGCTCGGCAGCCGCTGCAAAACCACAGCTCCATACACATGCAGAAGCTGCCCTAGCTCCTGCAGTGTGAATCTCGCCCGAGACTGTGCTGCGACCTGCGCCGCACACCTCCATGCTTCAAATGTGGTGCAAGGAGACTGACGTCTTTGCTCAGCCGCGATCCCCGCAAGTAGCTGAGACTCCTGCACACACCTGTCTTGGCCCAGGCCGAAAATCTTGCACAGTCTTTTGACATCATCTGTGTGACGCAAAGGCAAAGGGCAACAACATACGGAATCCACCATGAAGCAGGAGCAGCAGCAAGTGCTGGTGGAGTTGGTGCTGGTGGCGCTGGTGCTAGTGGAGTTGGTGCTGGCGGTGTTGGTGTTGGTGGAGTTGGTGGAGTTGGTGCTGGTGGTGTTGGTGGTGGTCCTGCAGAAAGAGTTTCTTTAGCTGTTGTTTCCCCATTTGTTTCACTAAGTTCGGATTGAATGTAGCTGCTGCACTTAGTTGCTGTCCAAAAAATGTACTGTTTGCAACATAATGGGCACCATGGACACTATCGATTCCATAGATCATTGGAATCCGATGGCAGTCCGCCTACCGGGTCAAAAGCGGACTACCGCCAAAAAACCAGGAGAAAAAAAAAGGCCGAAAACACTTGCCTCCCCAAGGCCCGCGCAACACACGGTCTCGCCGTCTTGCCGTCCCCGTCCACGCAGTCCATGATTCGACCCCGCGCAGCGCGTAAAGCAAAGGGGAATCTTAGGGTTTCGGGTGCGGCAACGGGCGAGTTGAGGGTTGGGGGGCACATCGCAGCGCCAATCTTCTTATTGTTTAGGGCGGTGGGTCGGGGTCATGAAACGCATTGATACTTGCCACCAACAAAAATCACACACAGGCACTGTCAAGCGCCCAACTTGTTTCACACTACCCCCACCAAAACAAGAAACACGTGCGCACACACAGCGCACGGGCACTGTTAAGTGCCCAACAAACTGTTCCAGGCACTTTCCAGCGCCTCCAGTCCTGCCGCAGCAAACTGCCAGGACCGAGTTGCCAACGAGCTGGTGCGCTCGTCGTTGGTTTGTCACTGTCTTGACATTCATGGACCCGTGTCTCCACAACATTCTGATATCACGCTTGCGCACAAAGCAATGTCTGTTTCTTCGAAGAAGATGACCGCCAAGGACGAGAGCGGCTTCATGCAGTCTGGCACCGTCATTGTGGATTTCTCTTTGTTTCCACCGCTGGCAAGAGACAAGGATGCCCAGGTCACAGACAAGGTGGGTATCAAGAAAAGGGGCCAGGAGGCACACATCATGAAGAACCAAATCAAGAAGTATCCGGGCAACGCCAAGAAGAGAGACAACGTTCGCAAGAAGTCTTAAGGGCTGATCGCTGAGCTTCAGCTCGCCAAATACTCTGTTGAGCAACGCAAAATTGCTTGCCTCTTGCTTTGCAACACGTTTTGCAGGCAAGGCAATGATAAAACAACGCATGGCCGAGCTTGAAATCTAAAAAGGACCCCAGCCCGAGTTTGCAGCTTGCTTGAGACCTTGCGCGCAGACCCCAAGTCAACGAGCCATGAGCCGTGTTGACAGGCCCCTTTGGCCTGGAAGCTCAAACGCTCTGGACCCTGCCTAAGCCCCAAAACCCGAATCTTGCAGGGAGCTTGGCTGCGCCGACCTGGGCTGTCACCACGGGCTTCTTAAGTTTGGAACTTAATTATGCGAAGCGCCCAAGGTTTCAGGGCACTGTGAAGTGCCGGCGCGTGCTTTTTGACGGCTGCACGCTCACACACGGCGCCCACTCATACACACACACAAGCTTAACCAGGCAGGACTCGCGCGGGGGAAAAACTTGAACTGGTCTTGGAATTTGTAAAAAGATATGTATGCGTATATATGTATGACTACTGAAGGTCCGTGCTAGTTGCTGTTAGGTAAAAAGCACGGACGTTCACCAGCTGGCTATCCAGGTCAGCCCTCACGCAACGCTTGTCACCCCTCACGCCTGTCATAACTGGTGACCCGTCATGGCTGTTACTGTTACTTAAGTGAGGGAGCGCAGTGAAAGGGCCTCGTACACCTGACCAGGCAGGAGATGCACACAAAAGCTGGTGATTGTCATCCATCATTTCATGGCTGTTATCCAACAGTGAGTGAGAGTGAACGGGCCTGGTAGAGCTCCCCTTCTGACCAAACAGGAGACACAAACACGTGGCCAGTGTCCCCAGCAGAATGCCTCAAACGTTCCATGCAAAATATCATCAACAACAACAACTACTGCTACTACAACATGGCGCTGTTAAGTACAAACAAAATGACGTTGTCAGTTGTTGTTGTTGTTGTTGTTGTTGTTGTTGTTGTTGTTGTTGTTGTCGTCGTTGTCGTTGCGGTTGTCGTTGGTTGTTGTTGTTTTGCTTTTTTGCAAAACAAGTGTCTCCACAACAGTGCCTGAGCCTCAAACTTTCCATGCAAATTGTCACCATCGGCAACAACAACGACAACGAATGCCAAACATATATGTGCGATGAAAGCATTGCCATCGACCTGTGTCACTGAGTCTCCCATATTTTGTAAATTTGGTCAGGGGTTCCAAACTATGGTTCCATGGCTCTAGTTTTGTGAGTTCAGTTTTTGTCGGAGCCATGGGCATAAAACGTGCGCACGCGTGTGTGGAACATACGCCAAATCGTGAAGAGCAAGCAGCCCGAAAAATTGTGTTTGTTGTGGCCCCAGAAATTTTTAAAACTGGGTTCAGAAAATGCTAGACTAAGCCAAAAAAAAGCAGCTCCCCCAAGCCAGCAGCTGCCCACAACAATCCGGCAAGAGAATACACATACACTCACAGACAAAACACACACGCACACACACAAACGCAACAAACACAACAACCAACACAAACGAACACACAAAAACAAAAGCACACACACGCGCACACACGCTAACACACACACAAACCATAAACACACACACAAACACAAACACACACACAAACAAACACAAATACACGCGCGCACACTCGCACACACACACAAGGACGCGCACACGCACACACACACAAGCAACGCGCGCACACAAACACGCACACCAACACAAACACGCACGGACACACGCACATGTGTAGACACACACACAAACACACACAGGAAGAAACACGCAAACACAGAAAGGCAGACACAAACACACATAAACGCACAAGCACACAGCCACACAGGCGCGTAAACACACAGAGACAAACAGACGCACAAGCTCACGCACGCGCGCAAGCGCGCACTCGCACACGCGCACACAGGCGCGCGCACACAAAAACATACACACAAACACAAACACAAACGCAGAGCCAAACACAAGGACAAAGAGAAGACCCAACCACAAACACACAAACACGCAAAAACCGACACACACACACACACGCAAAACACAAAAAAACAAATCCAAACACGGACGCAGGCGAACACACATACAAACAAGCACACACACACACGCTACAATACAAACACACAAACAAACACACATACAAACACACACCAACATGCACATACACACAAAAAGCCACACACACACACACACTCACACACACACACGCACGGACACGCACACGTGCAAACACACACACAAACACACGCACTAAACACAAACAAACACACAAACGCACACGCGCAAACACACAGAGACAGGCGCACACACACAAACACACACACACACACACACAAACACACACACAGACACACACACACACACACACACACACACACACACACACACACACACACACACACACACACACACACGCACACACACACGCACACACGCACGCACGCACGCACGCACGCACGCACGCACGCACGCACGCACGCACGCACGCACGCACGCACGCACGCACGCACGCACGCACGCACGCACGCACGCACGCACGCGCGGCACGCACGCACGCACGCACATGCGCACGCACGCACGCACGCACGCGTGCAACAACGCACACGCACTTGCGAACACAGGCGTGCGCACACACACACACACACAAACACAAACACACACACACACAAACACAAACCCCAAACACAAACGCAAACACCACTGCACGCAGCACGCCAGCAGGCGCGTGCCTGCCTGCCCGAACGCTCTCACGCACACAAACAAACACACAGACACAGCCGAATCTCATGTCATGATGTTTGCAAGATTGCAAAGCTCTCAGAGTCCACTTGCCTTGCTCCAGATCCAGCAGATGCAGTAGCACATGCCACTGCCCTCCGGCAGCTGCACGAAGAAAGCGAGCCTCCTGAAGCGCGATGCGGAGCTTTCATCTCGGAGGCAGCGAGATGCTTAAAATCTACAAGTCCCTGCCGATCGGTCCAAGTGGTCCCGTGGCCCCCGTATCTTCCAAGATTCGCAGGGTAGTTGCTTCGTCCTTACCAAGCAATGAGCCAGCACGCCGCAAGTAGCTTAAGGTCTGGGCTGGCTGGCCCTGAGCCTTTAGCATAGTTGTCAACTTCGCAGAGTCTGGATTTGGACAGGCTAGCTGTCTGAGCCAGCAGTTGTCATAATTACCGTGTAGGGAACCGCAGCGCAACTTTAATATCGAATGTTGCCAAGCGTGGCAGTGGTACCAAACAGGCACGCAACCCACCGAAACCGGAACACTAGAAAAAGCACAGGCGCTGACCCCACCTAAGGCTCCTGCTGCAGCGAATGGCTCCGCGTTCCTGAATTCGAAAACTTTGCAGAATAAAGGAGCTTGCTGGCTGTCGAAGAGTTGGGTGTGCAAATGAAAGGGGGCATGCGTCGGGAATGACGGGGCGCAAACTGCTGCGACTGAATCCAAGTCGCTGTTCATCGCTCGGCCGCTCCATGACATCAGACCACACCAGGCTCAATTGATGACATGATATGCCGCATGAAGCTGTGCTCGTTGAGGGGCTGTGTTGTTGTCATTGTCTAGAGCCATGCGCAGCAGGCACACAAGGCTACATGAGATAACGTGGGCGCAGAATGACATTTCAGGTTGGGTAAATTTCTTTCTCCACCAGACCAACCTTTGTGATGCCTATAACAGCGACTGCCTGCCAGCGCGCAGGTTTGCCCACAGATTGATCAGAAATCACCCGAGTGGCAACTGCCACGTTGACGCGCTCTTCGCTGCCTTTTGGTCTGCACAATGGAGCTGCGCGTTGCAGCTGCATCCTCCAACGGCTAAAAAAGTTTTCTCGGCTGTTGGGCTCGTCAATGACACTTCGAAGTAGGTAACGACCACGTTGTCACCAACCACCTTTGCGACTCGCCGCGCTCTATCAACCATTGCGGAACGGGTGGCCAGCAGACCAAAACACACGAACACACAATTACACACGCGTGCGCTATCGCGATAAGGGCACACACACACACTGGCCTTCTGCTAGTGCATTTATTGGCGCCTCCAAACACAAGAGAAGGCTCCGCAGCGGCGCTCGTTTTTCTGCGTGGCGCGACGCTCAGCCCCCTATTGGGGTTGACGCATGCTGGGTTTGACGGAGTCGCACGCAGTTGCCCACGGGTATGGGCGAACTACGTGTAAATCCGCGTTCGTTTCTCCAACTCCTGGTCTCTTTCCTGAGAAGAACATGATCCGCCATCTACCGTTCACCGAACACCTGCCAGGCCAACAAGGAAGGCAAACAATCACAGTCGTTGGGTGGGAGAGGTTTTGTATTATCAGCATGGGCGTTGCCAACGCAGCGGTAGTCGGAGCTAACGACGGAGAACAAACCGATGACATTGGAAGGTAGCTTGTCAGCCAAGTGCCAGACTCCTGTAAAGCTACTCTTGCTTTGTGTGCTCTTTGTCTAAGTTCCGTCGTTCAAGAAACGGGCCGCTCGGCCCGTGCGGGGCGAAGCAGCAGCTGGCTCCACAGCGTCGTACCCGCGGCCCCATTGGAGACCTGAGTCGTTGAACAAAGCTAGTCACAGGGAACCGTGGGGGCACATGTTTAACCCACCCCGTTGCAGCGCAAACAAACTGAATGGATCCTGGTATCTGGTCTCGGTCACTGCGGAAACATGCTGCGCGCACAGTCAAGCCATGACAAACCGTCTATCCCAGATTGCCAAAGAGGCCACCTTTTAAGCCGCATAAACTTAGACACGAAAAGTCTTTTCCCTGGCAGCATGTTAACTTCAGGAGTAAAAGGTTTTGAGCCGGCAGCCTTGCTTGCGCAAACACATTCCACTGAGCAAGGATGTGTTCAACACCCTCGCTCTTGACACTGGACGCGTGACAGCTTCCGCTAGTGTCGCAAGCTTGTGCGCGTGTGATTGTTCTGACCGCTGATGCGGAGTCCACGGCGCAGGACGTCTACCAATTGCCTCCCTCCGGCTTAAACGCGCTGCGACCCTCGGCGGCACCTTCTCTCCATTCGCTCCATTGGCGCCACAGCGCCGGGTCTTCTGCTTCATCGTAAGCCCGCCGGCGATCTTCTTCCGTCCCGTGCGGCAAGGACAACTCAAGGCCAGCAACGCTGGTTCCACTAACTTTGGGGCACGGCGCACGCGTGCTGCGCAGCGGCGCGGGCCTTGGTGGGTGGAAGGACCAGCTTGAGGCAATCAAGAGGTGGTGTTGAGCTTGCGACCACTTCTCATTCCTTTTACATTGCTTGCGCGGGCTGCTTCTCCTAAGATAAAGCGCTGCGAAAGAAGTTGATGAAGAATTGCTCTGCTTTATGCCCCCTTGCTCAGCGCTTTGGATTTGGCCGACAACTTTGGATCAAGGAACGGCTTTTGCCGCGTCATGGCAGCCGCGCTAGGCAAGCTTCTGCGATCCTTACACAAAGCGATGTTTGCGATAGGGGGGCGCAACTATTTGTGCGGCACTTAGCTTGGGCTTAGGACGGGGGTAGAAGTGCGCTTGCACGTCAGACCCAAGCGGTTGTAAGCCGCGAGTGTCGCAGTCGTATCTTTGCGTGAAAAATGTTAATTCCAGGCTATCTTTTGCTTCTCCCGAAAACGTAGCAAAGGGTTCCCGTTCTTCTGGGGGTCGGGGGGTTGGACCCTTGTTCGCATCGTTTTGGTCGGCTGTGCGTCTGATGACTTGCGACGCGCTGCTTTCGTTGGCCCTGCGCGCGAACCGTAGCGTCTCAAGTTCGACGTGTCGTTTCGCCGCGCAGGCGAAGTGTTTTTGAGTTCTACGTTTGCATTGCAAGTACAATGGAATTCGCGTTTCCGGGGTGTTTGTTTCGAGGTGTTTTGCTTGGAATGCTCGTGCAAGCGTTTGCTTGAATTCGTTTTTGTTGTATTATCGGCTCGTTTCGACCTGCCTCAAAGAAGCACTTTTCGCGCGAATTCATTGCCATTCCATTGGGGAGAGGTTTCACCATCATGTTGCACCGAGCACGTTGCGCGAATGCAAAGTGAACCCTCTGCGAACTTTGGTCGAGTCGAATCGCCCTCGCCGTGGCGCAGTGCACAGCTTGAACATGCAAAGTGAACCTTCTGCGCACTTTGGGTGGGTCGAATCGCTCTCGCTGTGGCGCGGCGCACATGTTGAAAATGCAAAGTGATTGCAAAGTGAACCCTCTGCGCACTTTGTCGCTGTGGCGCAGTGCACATTTTGAAAATCAGTGCTTTTTGGGTGTCCAGCTGCGGCTCGAACATTGTAACTGTTAAGTATGGGCGCAGTGCGCGATTCGCACATTTTTCCAGATGCGGCTCGGCCATCGCAACTTTAAAGTACGAGAGTTGTACCGAAAGTACACATTTCCGGCTGCGGATCGAGCATCGTACTTCCAAAAGGGAAAGTAAAATAAAGAGGGAAGGCAGAAAAGAAGAAAGGAGAAAACAGAAGAGAGGGGAAGAGAGAAGAAGACAAAAGAAAAGAGAATATAATAAAACAAAAGAGATGGGAGAAGGGAAGGGACGAAAAGAAAGGAAAAGGAGAAGAGAAGTTAAAGTTCAGAAGAAAGAAGATGACGTGAGAGAAGAAGAGAGAAGAGACAATGGAAAAAAAAACAAGAGAAAAGTGTGAGAAAGAAGAGAAGCGGCAGGAGAAAGACCAGAGAGAGAGAGAAAGAGAGAGAGAGAGAGGGAAAGAGAGAGAGAGAAGACAGCAAAGAAGGAAAAGAGAAGAGAGACAAGAGAAGCCAACTGTGAAGAGAGAAGACGAAATGAGAGAGGAGCAAAAAGCAAAGAGAGGACAGAAGAGTGAAGAAAGCAAAAAGAAGAGAGAAGAAGAGACGAAAGAAGAAGAGAAGAGGGACGGTGCCCAATCGTCGAAACTTTGCCTCACCGTCGGGCCCTCTGTAGAGGCCTCGCGACTTTGCCAGCTCAGGCAGTTGGTACGTTGCGCGGCCGACTCGGCCAAGCCAAGTCGGTCGCGCAGCTTGTTGCAATACTGAGACACTATACGAGGCGAAATCTCCACGAAAATATACTGCGTTGGGTCGTCAAGGTTCTGCCTCTTGCTACGACGCCCCATCCAGCGGAATGGCGTCGCATGCCTTTCTAGGACATAACAATGCTGCAAACAGGTCGAACAAATCGCGCGAACAACATGTTCGGACGCAATCTCGCTGGCGTGCAAAGCAGAAAAGTAACGCCACACTATTCGCGGGTCTGAACCATGTGAACGAGAACGCAATTGGCGTGGGATCGGTGGTTGGATTTGCAAAGGAAAAGTTGCTAGGCGTCGGTGCCTGGATTTGCTTTGTGGCTGGGCCACACAACAACAACTCGGCTAGCAGCACACCCCGTCCAACCGAATCCGCTCGTCCAAGATTCAGACCCGCGAATAGAAGAGAAGAAAGAGACGGAAAGAGCAGAGAAGAGAAGAGAAGCGAAGAGAAGAGAAGAGAAGAGAAGAAGAAAAAAAAGAAGAAAGAGAAGAAAGAGAAGAGAGAGAAGAGAGAAGAAGAGAAAGGAGAGCAAAAAGAGAGAGAAGCGAGAGAAGAGAGAGAAGATTACACCAGCAGAGACCCCAAACAGTTCAGGACTGACGGGCTAGCACAAACATGCCAAAAGCTTGTGGCTATCTGCGCTTCAACACGGATGAATCAAAAAGATGCAGTCGTGAACCCGGCACGCGTTGCGTTGCTGCAAGTGTGTTGCTGGCGTGCTTCGCGCTTCAGCACCGCGCCGGAACTGAGGTCGATAGCGGGCGAGCGCGCGCGCGTGAACGCAAGTCAAGTGTGGCTGCAGACACACAATGACACACATGACACACATGTGTGTGTACATGTGGACCACACATATGAATACGTCTGAAACAGTACACGCGGCACGCGCAGATGTGCACCCGTGAACACGCACATATACATTCACGTGCGGCACACGCATACATGTGTTGAGCTGGAAAACCAACGTGCGCTTCTTGTAAAGCACAAACACATGTGTACACCTGCGAACACATATGTGTTCACCTACGACACGCTAATGTGTTCACGTGGAACACACATATGTATACCACTGGAACACAAAAATGTGTCCAGGAACACCGCGTGTGCGAATAAAGCACACATGTGCACACGTGAAACATACATGCGCACACCTCGAAAGCAATCATGCGTTTTCGGGAGCACATACATGCGCACACCTGGAGAGCAAATATGCAAAAAAAATCACCTTGCACATGGTAATGTGTTCACGTGGAACACACATCTGTCCACCTGGAACACATATGTGTACACGTGAACACACATATGTGCACACGCATAAATTTGCACCCGGAACACACACCAGTGTGCTCGTCCGATAACAACCGCGTTTTCCCCTGGAACGCAAACACCTGTCCAATTGGAACACACATGTGCGCAGACGTGAACACACATGTGTACACGTGGAACACACACACGAGTGTCACTCTAAAAACAAACATGTGTTCGCCTGGAACACG